AAACAACACACTCATCTGGTAGAGGCAGAATTTTATGGGAAGAATTGCTATTTTCTCAGCTTGAATGTCGAACCGGCTGTCAAAACCACTGGATATGAAAATGATCAGGAACGTTGAACGGATGTACCTTTCTTATTGGTACAGTAATGAGCGACGTCTTGGGTGTTTATTGTCGTTCAACTTTTCCTGAATTTGCCAAAGTTAAAAGATCGTCTGAACACAACCTTAACTTTGATGGCCAGGTGTATATTGCGTCTTTGTAGCACTGATAGAAGCTGTGTCGTAGAAACGACAATTCGGTTCGCTTGGATTCCTTCACTGCGTTTCCATGGCTGGTCCCTTTTAGTATTTCTGCGTCCGCTTAGCGGTCCTTAGTAGTCGCTCACTTCTACCAGAACATCGACCCATTTTTAATGGAAATTTGTCAGTCTCTTACGATCCTGTGATACCACTCAATGATAGTCACCTATTATCATTGGCCAGCTAACTGAGCTAGACGTCAGAGAAAGACTATCCAAATCTGACCCCAGATTTGCTAGGAATAGTAGCAACAAATTAACGGGATCAGGTGGCAGAAAGAGGTAGAGTGGAGTATGTACCTCTAGTTTTAATTAATATCACGAACTCTGGAATGGTATGCTAAAGAAACAACTTTACCTGGGACGGTACAGAAGAACGTATCTATTATACACCTGGAAGAAAATTTTGGCATCCAGCTTCTGCATGAATCCACCAGAAAATATGACGAAATCTTACCATTACGCCATTTCAACCTGAAAGAATGATGACATATACAGATGACCTGCATGTTGGACAATAACAAGAAATATACAGAAAATTCAACTCCATTTCGATGGCATATATTTGGAAAACATTCTCTCACGAAATATCCCTTTGGCTAAAAAAAATCTTCGTTTGTATGTTTGAAATGTTTCTTCTGCTCCATAAAACAGACTATCTTTCAGACTGGTCACAGTAATGAATAACGGAATTTATCTGGGAAAGACGAATTTCAGGTAAGGCAAAACATCAGACGCCCAAAGAATCCCATTATGGGATAAAGCGACGGTCTACACCGAACTAGAAAGACCTAATCGATGCAGTTCAGCGGTCGTTTAGGAATACCTCCTTCGCAGAACCAGTCGAACAAGCCTAGAGTTGAGACTCCGCCTGACGTGGAGGGATTATTTCGTGAGGACCATGGTCATGACGTGGGGCTATGTTGAGATGAAAAACACATGCGAGCACAAAACGAAGACCACATGGTCATAACCTGCATTGGAATAAATAAAAACAGAGGCCTAAACTTCTTCAGAGGGTACCTTCAATTTTTTGAAACAGACGGACTGCGCTGTATTATTTACCATGCGTACGAGCAATGCACTTTCACCAGCCACACTCTCCGTTTGTTCGTTTACCAAGGCACCTTGGCAACTGTACTATACGCTGCTCCCGCAATCTTATTGAGACATCAAAAAAGTACAAAGTACTTAGCAGAGCGATCGATCCTATTGATCTCAGTACTTTACAAGATTCACAAATATGGTTTCGTCGCACATATTGGAAATATTTTTTATACAAAGCGCTTTCATTCATTCATTCATGAGAGGCAATGGCGGGATGCCATAAGAGGTCGGCTTTGAAATTCATCGGTTCAGGCGTTCAATACAAAATGTTCTTTTCTTTTCAATTTCAGCAAGAAATTGAAACCACTTTGCTTCGGTGTAACCAGTCAAAAAACCAATAACAAATCACTGAACTGTGAAGGGTAAAGACAGAATGGGATTCTTATCGTTATACCGAACAAGAGAGTGATGGGCCTGTTGTCATTTGTGAATGGTTCAAT